CGTGCAACATACTGCTGCTTGACCAAGTGAACATATGCCTCTGAAAATGCGCTAGGTGATGGGCATCGTTGGTGAAGTGTCACGAAATGCAATTGTATCAATCTTAAAGTGAAATACGCCATTGTGGCAATTCATTATTGTTGTACATCATGATCATAGTAACCATACAATGCCCGATTCGCTATCCTTACATTCCAATTCCATGCAATTTTACCTGGGGTTCTCAGCCTCGGCAGAGGCCTGCGTTACGCTCCCGGGAGCAATATTGCCCTCCGCAGAGATGCTGTCTGGGACAGACTCGGGGGTGTAGTAATCCGAGCCGGGGAACTTGTTGCCGCCGACGCCTGGGGGCTTAGTGCCGACGTTGTTCCTCACGGCACCCTCGCCCTGGAGCAGGACATCGTTCTTCTGGTCTTGGGTTCCAAGCGAAGAAATCTTCTTGGCTGGTACGACGTCGTCGTCATCCTGAGCTGGGTCCCTTGCGGGCTGCTCAGGCTTGTAGGAGACGTTGTTGGTAGGGTCACCCTGGACGCTGACGGAGGCACCGGGGAATTTGCGCTCTGCGACGGAAGAGACGCCGGCATCGTCGTTGCCCATGGGGCGGGCGGCTCCGGTCTTGGATTGGTAGGTGTTGAGGTCGAGCTGGGCCTGGGCGGCAATCTCGTTAAGCTGGTCCTTGGAGGGCGCCATTGTGCTTGTTGGTGTGTGAAATGGTTTAAATGATGTAAAGGTGGTATAAGTGGTTCGGGGTGGACTGATAGGGATATCCTGCAATCTTTTTTGAGGATGTTGATGAAGTGGTTGATTTAATGATGGGAGATAAAATTAGCTTCTTTCTGCTTGGAAGGTTCAACTTATGTAGTTGCCGATGAGGCTCGCCATCTGAACTCTGCTAGTCGACGTCATCTCGATGATTGTCGCTGGTGATATCACTACCCGCCATTTTGTGGCCCTGAGGTGGGGAGGACTTATCTCATCGACACTGATCGAACGGGCCCGACGCCGCTTGGCCGCCACAGGACCCCCAAAATCCTCCGGGCGTCCATGATAAAACATACCTTTGACGTAGGAGTGATATCAGTTGTCCCTGAGAGGATGGCACCCGATCGGCCTGGCTGGTTTTCATCGGGCGGCTAGGCTCTGTGAGCGGCCGGGGCCGTGAGTGCTCCGTGTGTTCGGTCAATCGCCCGGTCGCTAGCAACTTGTTAAGCGGGTCAGCGGTCTGGACCGTCGCCGCATCTTGGATGCGCACGCGACCGGCACAGTCATCTTCAATATTTGGGAGTAATGGATCTCAGGCAATAATGTTGACGGAACAAGGTATCATTTGACTCTGAATTACAGTCCTGAGGCCCAAACAGCCGCAGCTCATGCTTTTGAAATATCCCGACACAGCGCACCGATATAATTGTGAAGATGCACGCTGTTGTGGTAGAAAAAAACATGAGCAACCAAGTCGTAATCCTGCAAGTCTCGTCTCGGGCATGAAGATACTGAAGCACAAAACCCCTCCATTTCATCATCGACAGTTTGCTCCTAATAGCTGCCGGGCTCTCTGGTTGTTTTATAAAAGCGCTGCGCTTAGCCGTCGGTGCCGCTGCTACGGAAAGTGGCGCAAAGAGCAGCGTAGTGATGCGTGAGATCGAGGACGTTCTGCGGCAGACTGGTAGCCTGAATGATGCTCCTGACCTTGACGGCGCCCTCGTCCTCGATGAGTGTTCGGATAGTATGGAGAAGCTCGGGAGAAAACTCAGAGTACCACCTATATTGCCAGGTTACGAGACGAATCACAGACGCTACGGTCTCGCGAGTGTTCTTGTTCTGCTCAAAGACCCGTAGGATGCCGGTCAAGGCCTTGGGGCTGAACCTGGATGCGAGACAAGCTCTGTACGCCTCCACGGCCTCATCCGTGTGTTGAAGTCTCTCGGCAAGAGAACCGAGAATCTCCCATTCCTCGGCCGACTTCTTGTATTGCATGGACTGGGCGCGGTACTGAGCCATCTGCGTACGCCAAATAGTGTAGACGCGCAGGTCCTCATACAACACCATGAAGAGGCTGTCTAGCCAACGCTCGCACAACCGCTTGTTGTTCAGCTTGGACAGGTGGTCATCACTTTGGGCGCCCTGTGATTTTGTTAGCAATGCCCGTTAAAAGTTTGGTTCCAGCACTTACGTTCTCGGCGTCACCCTTCAACTCGCCAGGATCTATCGCATGGCTGGGCTTCTCAACCGCTTCACCCTCCGATTGTCCATTCGTTGCCAAAGTCTCAGCAGTCGACTCGGTGTCTGCCGGCTTCGTCTCTTCTTTCTCTTCTTTTTCCTCCTTCTCGTCGTCTTCATCATCCGAGTCCGATTCGGACTGATCGCCGTTCGTTGTCGGGTCTGGGGTACCCCGAAGACCGTCGGTACTCGGGTTGCGAGGTGGCTGCGGCTCATGCTTCTCTGAACGGTACTCATCCTCCATAACGAAGACAGTGCTCCGAATCTTCAGCAGTTGATCCCAACCAATCTTCGCCGTCATCTCCGTCAAAATGCTGTAGGCCTGCTTAAAGGTGCCCTTGTACACAGCAGCGCGCAGGTTCAGGAGGCTAGCATCAACCTGCTCTGAGTACCTGGATTCGGGTTCGCTATCAATCTCATCGAGACGAGTTTCCGGCAGAGTCGGCAAATGGACGTCCTTAGGCTCAGGCATCTGTGGCGCATCCTTGTCCTGGTACGTGAACATGGGACAGGAGTTGAGAATCGTCAGGGCGTTCTCCCAATCCTCCATGGCAACATAAACCTGTGCCAATCTTGCCCAAGTGCCAAACTCGCTAGGTGCGGCAATGGTGCTGCGATCAGCGCATCCAAGAGCCAAACGAAGCCTTTCCTCCTTTTGTTCAGGAGTTGCGGCAGTCTGCGCCTTCTTCAACAGGAATTCGGCTTGGGTGTCGAGCATAACATAGTCCATTGGGGACTCCTTGAGAGCCTGGTGAAGCACGCGGACGCCCTCAACTTCCTCATTGCCCATGAACAAAACCTTGGACAACAGAGAAGAAACCTCAATGTTCTGGTCTCTCAGCTTCTCGAAGAGATTGATGCCCGAGGCATACCGGCCGGTGGTCTGGAAGTACTTGAGAAGGCCAGCCGTCAGATGGTTCGAGACATTGTTCGGCACTTGAACAACAGAGTCGGAACCCAGCTGCCAACCTGGAGTAGAATCAGTATCGTAGTTATTCAAGCGACGAGGCATGTCATACCTCGGAAGAAAAGCTGCTCAGCGGCGTTGAGGAAACGGTGTTCGGTTTCGGTATTGGTGACGGGGTTGAACCTGCGCACACCCATAATCTTTCGAATGGTTTCTCCGCTTCCGTCGTCGGCGTAGGAGTAAGCTCGGAGAACACTGCAGAGATATGTCTCTAGCCATAGGTCGTCCGTCGCCTTGCGCTTCTCGCCGCGCTCGTCCACGCAGTAGCTCTCGACAGTACCAGGTATCGTGACGTGGACGCGCATGTCCAGTCTTGAGAAGGCATTGTAGCAGCTAGCAAACAGATCAGCGTCAAGGGATTCGGGGATGGCGCATGAATTTGCCGTACCAGTAGAGACCTTCAGAGATCTTTGTCTGGGCGGCCTGGCCATGCTCGCGGTAGGTCAGGGTGTTGATGTAGGCGGCAAGACTGGCGGACGAGGAGGCATCGACACCGGTGACATGATGGTAGACTCCGAGCTGGAAGAGAGGCGGTCAGCAATGGACGAGAGCTCGGAGGGCGTTTTGAGATCGCATACCTGTTTGCCAGGGTTTCTTGTGGCCTGCTTTAGGAGATGGACAAGATCAGGGGGGCCAAGCTCGCGCAGGGAGATGAGGGACTCGGTGCGGGCATCAATTGATTCTGACAGAATCTCTTCCGTGAGCCTAGTGACAGCATCAGCATGGGAGACGAGGATGGAAGTCGCAAAGAGCGTTTGACGGACTCTGGCACGGCCGGCGCAACCATTGCGGCGGTGTTGCTGGGTGTCAAGCTTCAGCGGTAGCAGATGGGCTCGAGGCTGTCGTCGACGGGATACGGTGTTAGGAGCTCCGAGGTTCGACTTGAAGCATGCGGTCGCGGTAGAAAAGCAGCTTCCTGTGGGAATCGCGGGTCGGAACAGATGGCTGGGAGTAGAGGGATGGCCGCGAGGGGCTCGCAGTCGCAAACCGAAATGTGGTCGGTGAGATTGGCGAGGGATAGATAGATGCTTGCCTGGCCTGTCCTGGCCTGGTTTTGGCGTGGAACGGGAGCGTGGCAGAGGCGGGATGGCGAACGAGGGAGTGCGGCGTCAATTGATTGAGGTGCCTGGCTGGGTAAGGTACTGCGTAAAGGCAAGGTACAAGCAAAGCACCACCTTTGGGGCAGGTGGTGAGCTTGGACTCTCTTGTGACGGGCGGGAAACCTGCTGCTGCTGCTGCTGGCTGCCCCCTGGCCTGGCGTTTCTAACTGCAGTCGCCTGTGGGTGATTTGCTGTGCTGATGGGCTGGAACAATATTACTGGATTCGCAGCGGATAGCAGGGAACAATAGCAAGGGCCGCCATTGGATTGAAAGGCGTTGCTGAAGGGGGAGCTGGGTGGGCTGGACGTGGAGCTGCCGCAGCTGGGCCTCGTGAAACCTGGTTTGCCATGTTCCTGGATTGCCAGCTGCCAGCTTGTCCACTTCATTATGTCAGCCACGGGAACAGGAGGTCGAGCACAGACCATGCGTCCACACACTCAGCGAGTGACATGAACGGGACACATCACCGCCTGAGCCTCACTTTGCATCTTGTGGCGCACTCCATTCATGTGGCTGTGGTGGATGCACGTGTGGATGCCATCATCACCGAATCCACACCGATCGTCAATGATCACTTTTACATCGCGTTTTTGGGTATATTTGCGCAGTCATCAAATGTGTCTGTGCTGCACTGAATACAGCAAGTAGTGGTCTCAATACTTGCGCAGGCGAGGCCTCACGCATTACAATACAGCCAGCTTCCTACCTACCCTTAGTAGATGTAGCGGAAGTTCTTGTTCTCCTGGTCCGTCAAATCATCGAAGCCGTGGGTGGTGTCAATCTCAGCACCGTACTTCCTGTCCTTCTTCTTGTTGCGCCAGACCAGGTTCCAGCGAAGGAACACAATGACAGCAACCAGGACGGAGTAGCAGACGAGGTGAATTGTCAGCGCCTTGATGTAGCGGGGCGCGTCACCGTCGAAGAAGACCTGCGGGCCCGCAGCGTTACCCGCGCACCAAGCCAAGAAGTTCAGCGTAATGCAGACAGACTTCTTGGTCTGCCCTCCGACATTTCGCGTCAGCATGGACATGCCGAGACCCTGCGCAGCCCAAAAAGTGAAGACGATCCAGTAGCTGATCAGGAGACCAGCTTTGGTAGACTCGTTCTTGTTCGGCACAGTCATGATAACAATCGTACCAATGAACGATCTAGGTAGAAAGAGTCAGCTGAGTTTCTCTGCCGTGGAAAGGTGCGCAACTTACGGGATTAGGAAGACAGCCATCGTGATCAGGTTCTGGTTCCATTTCTTGGTTGCCCAGGCCGAGGTCATCAAGGTGAAGATGATGATGGCACCCAGAACCATGGCCAGAAGCTGGGTCTGGAGAAGCGAGAAGTTCAAGCCCTTGAGGATAATGTTATAGAAGGCACCGAGTCCGGATGTGGGGAGAGTCGTGCAGATCTGGATGAGCATGTAGCAGTACGTCTGGGGGTCGGTGAAAGCCTCCTTGACCTGGTAGGCACGGAACGTCTTGTTCTGCAGACCCGTCTGGTTGGAACGAACACGCTCAACCATGAGCTTCTTGTCCTCTTCCGAGAAGCACTTGGCACGCATGGGGCTGTCGGGCAGAGTCCAGAGGACGTACAGGCCCCAGAGGAAAGACGCGCTGCCATAGGTGATGAAGATTGCTTGCCACGAGCGAATGGCGGCGTTGCCCGGCGGGTTGCCATCCTGGAAGCTGGGATGCCTAATGTGGGAGAAGGCGTAGGCCAACAGACCACCGCAGATCTGCTGCATGCCGTTCATCATGTACCAGTAGGTGACAACCTGGGCCTGCTCCGAGCGCTTGTACCAGATCGAACTCATGATCAGGAAGGCGGGCTGGCAAACAGCCTCGAAAATTCCCAGCAGAGTTCGGCAGGTGATAAGAGCCGGATAGCTGAAGCATGCGGCGTGGCAGCAAAGCACAACACTCCATGCCAGAATGTTGAAGCTGAGGTATTTGGCGACAGGCACACGTTGGATCAGCCAGTTGGTCGGGTATTCAACAATCAGAACGGCAATCTTTGCGTGGATTCGTCAGTAACTGGCCGGCTCGACGTATCTCAAGAAAGGGCTACTCACGTAAATACAGGTGGTGAGCCATCCCCACTGTGAACAAGTTCGTCAGTCACTGGCACACATCGGACATATCTAGGACCTGATACTCACGTAGTAGTTTTGCTTGAGGATCGGGATGTCATCACGGATTCCCATGATGGAGCTGAAGGACATGGTTCCCTTGTCCAGCGCCTGGAGGAAGTAGGTCACCACCATGATGGGCAGGACGCGTCTGTCGATAAGCCTCTTCAGGCGCTTGTTCTCTTCCTCGGTAATGACAACAGCGCCGGTGGCATCGGCATACTCGGCGATTTCGTTGTCGATACGGTCGTAGTTGACGTGGTCGCCTTTGGCGTCAGCACCAGACAAGGTGCGCTCGACCTGAGTGGCATCTTGACCCTTCTCTTCAGACTGGCGAATGATCTCAGGGGAGGAAGGCTGAACGGCCTCCTGGCTGGCACTACCCATCTTTGCGAAGCGTCCGAAGGTCCCGCGAAGAAAGAGAGTGACTTTTCGAGGTGAGGGACGGCGGGAGGGAGTCAAGGAAGAGTCACATCGGGGGACAGGAGGAACAGGCGCGACGACTATCTTTAAAGGGCTCTCCTCTCCGCGTGGACGTCGGCCTTCTCCAGACTCCAGATTACCCCGTGTACTATGCAGTAGCCCCAGAGTTTTCCCACCCCGCGGTCATGTTGGATGCAACGTTGGCGGTGTGGAGTTGGCCGTTACCAACTCCGTACAATGTCGGCCCAAAACACCCCGAACCAGGCTCGTGATGGGCTGAGAATCGTCTTTCCTACAGCAGGCCTGAGGCAAAGATGGTGCCGTCTCTCCCATCACTCGTCGTCGATTCGGCCGCGAATTGATTCACCACGGGTGTGGCGCCAAACAAGCATCGGTGTAATGCAATGCGACATCGGTTGTTCTGCTGTTTTGGGGACCAAGCCTTCGCTCTTTGCAGGCCTCGAGATAACACCAAGACACGCCTAACACCTTGGCGGTCGAGTTCTCTGCCGCTGTTCGGGGGAGTGGTGTGCCGACGACGAGGATTATTCCGGAAAGCTGTCTTGGCGCAATTAGTTGACCGGGCGTATTTCCTGTTGGAACTTCGAAGGTTGGGGGGGAAATACTGCAGAGTAAGGTAAAATGGCCCCCAGCAACCCATCCCCAGAAGGGGTCACCACACCCTTATGCGGGGTACAGCCAATCACACTTACATTTTATCCATTTTTACCCCAATCACAGTCAGCAGGCTAACTGAATCCAGTTCGTGTCATGTTGCTACCCCACAACACCCAAATCCTTCGGATGGCTCCAGACCAAGCCCTTGGCGGAATCTCGTCAGAACTATCCGGCCATGCAGACAGATGTTCGTCCAGAATATGACCCAAACTTTCGGATGAGCGGGTATACTGCCTTGGAGAAACATCAGGCTCGCTTCCCATGGTCTTTTTGAATAGAAAACTTGACCATGGCCTCCGGACGATGATTCAGCACATTCGATGGAGTCTGGATAAGGTATGCCTGGTTCCACACACCCCACGATGGTTTTGCGGGGAGAGACCCTCCACAGCGTCCGTCCCATCCTGTCCCGTGGGGAAGAAACTCAACCGTGGGATATACGACGTTGCCATCTATGCATGAACCACAGCGATCTGCGGCCATATTCATGGGTTGACGGCTGCTGAGGGGGTGTGTTTCAACTCCATACCTGTGGTCGTGATGTTGGAGAAGCGCGGGGTATGATTTGGGGGAAGGTCGATCTGACAAGACTTGGCTTGATCACTTGGCTCGATCGTCAAGGACCACCTCCTCACGTTTGGGGAAGAAGTTGCATCCATAAGAAAAACACAAGAAATGTCTAAGCCCTATTCGAGGTTGTATCATTGGCCTCCCGCCTTGGCGCCTAGTTTCCCCTAGCTTGGGTTCAGAGCCGCAAAGTGCTTGGTTGCAGTTGGCCAACAACTGAATTTCGTCTTGAACACTACACATTTGGTTCTCGAGTGGAACTCTATTCCGAACAGTTTGTAAATTGTGAACTCGAACAGATCCTGGAGCGGCCCATGAGATGATAGCACGGCCTCTATCTCGACCCAGCGCAGGTCATTACGTTGTTCACGACTGTACATAGTACTGCCAACCACCGGCGGTGTGCTCGTGATGTCTTGCGAGAGGACACCTCTGGCCGCACGAGATCGAACCAACAATAAACACGCGTTGCTCTCATGCTATCGTTCGGATTGTCTTTTCACAATCCGTCATTGCGTTCACATTTTCCCGCCTCCCTTTTGGCGAAAGGTTTAAAATAATAACGAGCAGCTTGCATGACTGCCTAGTGGAACGTTCGTGGCCAGACTGCCCAATGCCATAGCACAAGCACAAGTAACTAAATTTAATCCAAGAACAAATCCTCACATAACTTTCGTGTGTGTTCAGCGGCCGGCTTGGACTTTCTCAAGAGACCAGCGGCTGAGATTTAAATTGTTCATAGCAACTAGAAGATGGAATGACCATAAATCTGTGGTTAAGGCCAAAATCATGCTGAGCTACTTACGTTACAATTGCTTAACTTCCATTTCACAAATAGATTCTCATACGAACTGATTACTCCAGCCTAGAGCTTCAGATGAAATAAATAAAGATTCTTACCTGATTAATACTTATTCAGCAAGACTTAATAAGCACACCCTTAAAGTCTAAAGTAAGAACACTAAATTAAGTGCATAGTGAAGTTTATAAAATGCGACCTCAGAATTCTAGGATGTTCTAGTAATGAACATGTTATAGTTAGCTATCTGACAGTAGGGTCTGCTAACAGAAGCTGGGGATTAATATGTTATAATAGTATACTGAGGTTGTGGTCTGAGTCGTAAGTTATAAGTTATAGTAGATTAGGTCTTTTAGAGACTAAGGTGATCAGTCTTAGGCTTAATAAGTAATTTGTAGTAAAGGTAAGCTAAGAGTATCTATAAGGATAAATACTAAGTTAATTACTAAAGAGCTATAGAAGTCTGACCTTAAGTGAGACTTAGGTTATACTATATATAAGTCCTAAATAGTATCCTTTATCTACTTTTAAGTGATCACCTAGGTATATAGGTGATTATAATTAGTTAGTAATACTAACTAATTACTAAGCGTTTCTTCTTATACTCTACTAATTATTCTCTTATCTTATTATTATATAACTTATACTATAGTTCTTTTATTCTAAATAAGTCTCTATTATTCCTTTTAATTCTATAGTATAAATATCCTATCCTAGCTACTTAACGCCTAAGTAAGTTAGTTAACTATTATCTATATATAATAGGTTATAATATTAGGTCCCCTCTCTAAAAGTCTTACCCTTAAGACTTAATATAAATAAGTTATTAGTCTTAAATTAGAGATCTATTAATTATACTTCTTATTTTACTTATAATACTAACACTATATTAGGTTGTATTTAGAAATTAAAATTAAGTGCTACCTCTACTCTTTATTATTATAACTATACTTTATATATTGCTAAGTTTAGTCTAGTTATTAATATACCTTATTCTTATTATTATTCTTTAGGGAAGTATTATAAGCTTCTTCTTAGTAGTGAAGTTTATAGTAAGTATACTTATTTAGAGCAATCTTATAATATAGTAGTAGATACTATTTATATTTATAAGTCTTTATTTTTGCTATATTTCCTATCTAATACTGACTTATCTTAGTTAATTACTTACTAAATAAAGCTACTTATTTAGAGGATATTAAAGTAGCTAAAGAGAAGGTATTAAGAAAGAAAGCAGCTATTTTATATACTATACAGGCTAAGTTAAATAAGTCTATAGCGTAATTAGATTATTTATATAAGCAAAAAAAGATAATATTTCAAAAAGGTTAGGAGGTTATAAAAGAGGAGCTAGTAATATCTCCTATATTAGAGGTTTAGTCTATAAGTAGTTTTAGTATTCTAAACTTAGATTTAATCCTTAACTAGAATTCTAATACTCTAAATTTCTTATTAAAAAAGTCTTAGTTATATTCTAATATTCCTAGTTAAATAGATATATTTTCCTATTATACTAGTCTAAAGCATCCTCCTAATTATACCTATACTAATAGGAGTTATATCCCTCATTTCTTAGCTTTTCTTTATTTCTATTATATTTCTTCCTATATTTATTTCTCTTTTTTATTAGCATATTTTTCATATTCCTTAAATTCTTCTAAGGTTATAAGTAAACTTAATCTATCTCTAAGATTAAGATAATTAAGCGTTCTAATATACTTATTAATCTTATCTTAATAGTTAAATAGGTTATTATCTAATTCCTATATATTATCTTTATATCTATAGTTTTTCTATTTAATAAGGTATTCCTATTTATTATCTTTATACTAGTAGTTAAATAGCTTTTCTACTTTATACTTTAGTTTATTATCTTCTATAATAATAAGGTTATTTATTTATAATCCTCATAATACTAGCTTAAGAAGTAAAATATAGAATATTAAGTAGTATTTTATAGTTTCTAAGAGTTTAAACTTATAGTTAACTAGTAAGATAACTTATAAAATTTTAAAAAGTCTAAGTTTTTTATAGTTAAGTTTATTGCTTAGTTATTTTATTTTAATATTTCGCTATATAAGGTAGGCGCTATCTCCCTCTTTTAAAGTTAGTCCTTTAATCCTTTATTTATTANTATATAAGGTAGGCGCTATCTCCCTCTTTTAAAGTTAGTCCTTTAATCCTTTATTTATTAATAAATCTTAATATTTATTATTAGATAAATTTAAATTCTTTATAAATATTATTTTAGATATCCTTAATTTATTATATTAAGGTAATAGCTTTAACTACAGCTAGGCCTATTTAAGGTTCTCTATAAGTAGTTAGTTTAAAGCTATAATTAAAGTAGAAAGGGGATTCCTTAGTACTTTCTCTAATTATACTATTATAAGCGAATTAGGTGATTAGTAAAAATATAACCTAGTTATCTTAATTATAATTAATATAGGTATAGAGGTAAGTTTTAAAGATTTAATTAATTTATTCTATTTATCTATTAGTTTATAGGTAGAATATAGTAGATATTAATTATTTAATACTAAGTTATAATATAATTAACTTCTAAAACTTAGAAGTAAAGATCTTATCTTAATCTAATATAATTTCCTTAGGTGTTCTATAGTTAGTAATAATATACTTAAGGAAGGTATATATATATTCTTTAGCGTTACTTACTTCTTTATATAGGATAAAGTAGGTATACTTTATAAGTTAGTCTATAATAATAAGAATGCTATTAAAGTATACTCCTATAAGGGGTTCTTAAAACTTTAGTAATTTAATAATAAAGTTAAGAGATATAGATTACTAAGCAGTTTATAGCATAAGTAAAAGTTATAATATACTATAAAGTTAATATTAAGTAGGTTTACTTTTTAAGTATACTTTATAATCCTTAATCACTTTTACTATATATTCT